GGGGTGTATATAATTTAATTTTTATAATAATATTATTAATATTTAATTAAATATTAAAAACATGTATCTATCTATAAAACATCTGATTTTTGAATATTAAAACTTGATATCTTATTTTTGAATTTGGATCTTGAAAAGTAGGGTTGTATGTAATTTCCACTTTACCTCCTCCACAATGGCCCAGGACATGATCGGTGGGGGGCCCTCAAGGTTGGGTTCAACCTTTTTTTTTAAAATTGAATCCATTGAACTCGACCCAACAAATAGAAAAAAGTACACGTCCTTCTTGTAAGTACCATTTTTATGGGAACTTTTGTAACACTTCAATTGTATCTTCAACTATAGCTAGGGAAAATTGTACTATTAGTCTCCAATCTATTGCTTTATTTAGTAAATTAGTAACCAACATTTGAAAATAAACAAATAACACACCAACCTTTCATCATATAGTTGTACAATTAGTCCATATTGCCATCAACAATTCGAATCTCAATTAAGTCGTTTGGTGACCTTCATATGTCCAACTTTAGGAATACGTGTTTCCATGAGAGTTGCATGATTACTTAATGAAGATATAGATTGTTTCCGTTGTTGGAACTGAATGTATAACTACAATGAAAAGTTAATGACCAACTTACTACTCGAAAAGTAAAATAGAGAACAACGATGCAATTTTCCTATTATGGCCCACCTAAATGTAAAATGTGTAATTTCTCATAGTACGATATAAATATATAGATTTCAAATTGCACCGTATTTTATGGTAATGATTCTACAATATATATCATCTCATTTTTTTTTATTGAAAAATTAAATTTACAATCACCAATATTATATTCGTACTTTAACGACACTATTTGATTAAAAAGTTGCACAACTCCGCGCCCGAGCCATTGATAATCCTCCATGCAACGTACACCAGCTCCAAACATCAAATAAAATTCCACTTCCATTGCATAAAAAGCCTTGAGATTGCTTTGGACCAGCATCATCAGTACAAGGAAAGCAACAGTATTTTGTTAATATAAAGCAATCACCTTACATACGACATAAAGAAGAGATAGCATAATCAGGTCAACTTCTTTTGACCATACAAGTGAAATGATTGAGAGAGTATTTCCCTATTCGGCTATTCCCATGTAAAGATTAATTACTTAAAAACACATATTAAGTCATGTTTTTAATAAATTTAATGTCGTGTAGGGACGGATTCAGAATCGAATTACAGGCCGAGCTAATACTTAAAAAAAAAAAAAAAAATTACACATGATTTGTTTTTTTACATAATTTTTTTTCTAACTAAAAAAAATTTAGTTGGGGGAGGGATCCGTCCCTGATGTCATGTATGTAAACTTGTTTGACCATTACGTGCAGGCCAATTTAATAAAATTGCTTACTTCACGAAACAATAATTTTTTTTTTAAGTCTACATAAAACATATTTCAACTACAACGTCCATGAATAAAATGTTGGAATTTGTGACCCAAATTAAGTTGAAATTTTTGGGAATATATTTTTCTTTCTTTGCATGTATTTGAAAAAATATTATTTCCTTTATTTCACGTGTTTTATTGGAAAAATATTGGGAAAATATTATTGCATTTATTTCGCGTGATTTGATTTTATCTTGTTTCCATCTTGGATTTGAACATTTTCCCTATAAATAGTAGACTCAGTTTTTGTGAGCAGAAATTGTATTTCATCTCCATTGGTTGTTTAATAAAATATTGGTTTCTCTTCCAATTTTTTCTTTTCTTTACTTTAAATCTTGTTCTTGTTTGGTAAGCGGTCAATATTTCATATTACTCTATTAATCTCTTCCGATTTTTCACAACACGTAGATTCAAAAGGTCCCAACATAAAAAAAAGTGTTGTTCTTCAAAATATTGAACATACTAGATGTCCCAAAAATGATTATAGTAGTTAATCATGTTCCCTAAGTATTTCTATAAACAAGAAGGTGTAATAAGTAGAAATCTCATTTTCCACAGCCTTCAATTAAGCCACCAATTCTGGTTTCTGCATTTCTGTATTTATCAAATAATCAACTGAACAATAATTAATTTCTAAATGTCACTTGTACATGCTTTGTAATGTGAACTTTTGAATTGTGCTTGACCCGTTACATGACGCTGGAATACTTAGTAATCGCAACTATACTCGAGCTTTCCAGCGAACTGAGAGGAGTAGACCAAAACTAGTATAACTTCTTGTTGCTAAGAATCTAGATCAATATGGAATAACGGCGCCCAGGCCATGCACTCGAGCTGGTTGGAGGTCACCATCTAACAAGAATTTCAGTCACTTTGAGGAATGAATAAAAAAATAAATAAAATCAACTTGAATTCGTGACAACTCTTCTTAGCCCATGTTTGATGGCCATGATTGAGAAAAATAATGTTTTGAGTAGTGATTTTTTGGATAATGTGTAGTTTAAAAGTAAGAAAAAGTTTTGATTTTATCTGCAAAATATTTTCCTGTCTAAATGTGATTGAAATGAGTATGAGAATTAAAAAGTTATATTTCAAGGGGATAAACAGCGACTTTATAAGAACAGATACATATCCACTCGCCTGGCCTCTGCTCATGCGGGACCCGCAACTGTGAAATCCCTCTTTGTCTGGTCTACATTAAGCAACATTGAACCCCAAATTTCAACTCCCACGCACTTCATGCCTAGTTGCTCTATATCTCTATTAGATCTAGCTATAAACCAAGCATAATGACCAAGAATGAGTGATATAGCATATCCTAGACTAACGGAAATAAGGCTTCGTTTGTCGTCGTTTCTCGACAGGATTCATACACGGTAAATACTTGATCAAGAAATCAACTTTCGTATTGCAAATTATAACTCGTCTACAAGAAGCTAGAATCACTCATGATCCCCAGTCAATCATGCATGCTTTTTATTATTCTCCTTGTGCACATAAGGGAGGAGCCGTATGAGATGAAAATCTCACGTACGGTTTTGGAAAGGAGATTCTTTTACTTGAATTACGACCCCCAATATGATATTATGGTGCCGGTATAGATCGAAATTCCGTTATGGTCCAATTCTGATCGGTAATAAATACCGAGGCTTTGCAATATTTGATTCTATATATTCCATTTACTTTAGAAAGGGTGGATTTAGTATATTTAAGTAGTTGTTCTGTAAAACTTCGGATACAATGAACAAATAAAAGAAAGATCCAAAACGAGCCAAAACACCACATTTTTACATGCATTGGAAGTAACAACGAATAATTTTACAACATAAGGACACAACTACCTGGTTAATAACCTTAACAAAACGTATAGTTGAATGAATCAATGTCTGCAGCTTATTCAACAAATGTATTTGTGCTCTATGTCCAAAATGCAAGATAAATACAACAGATCATCCCAGTATGATCCATTACTTTTCTCTTTTTAGTGTCAAATAGTGTTGAGTAAGATCTTTCTAGGCTGCATTTGACTCCTTAAAAGTAAAAAGACGACTGGAGAAGTTCTTTTTCCAAGCCTCAGAGAAATGCTAGTCAGACTGAGAGGGAAATGGTGTGGAATGGAATCTTTCTAGGATGCATTGACTCCTTGAAAGGCAACAGATAACAATGAAGTTTTTTACCCAAACCTTGAAGAAATGCTAGTTGGACTGAAAAGAAAATGTTGTTGAGTATCTTTCTAGGCTGCGTTTGACTCCTTAGAAGGACAAAGACAACTGGTCTAGTTCTTTTCCCAAGTCTTGAAGAAATGCTAGTCACACTGAAAGGCAAATGGTGTCAATTGATTAGCATCTTTCTAGGCGCTGCTTCCTTGGAATGCAAAAGACAACTGGTAAATTTCATTTTTCAAGCCTCAGAGAAATGCTATTCGGACAGATAGGCAAACGGTGTTGAGTAGCGTCTTTCTAGGCTGTGTTATACTACTTGAAAGGCAAAAGATAACTATTGAGGTTCTTTTCCCAAGCCTCAAAGAACTGCTTGTCCGTCTGAATTGCATCCCGCCTAAACTGATTTTTATCTCTTAAATGAATAAAACTGCCAACATTTGGCAAGCCTAATGAATTAAGAGTCAAAGAAGGTTGGCCAACAATTCCAAGTTATATTATACAGTATCGAAAAGCACTATAGATTATATATAATCTACATGAACACATTGTATTACAGCTGCAATCTCAAGATAGCAACAACTAAGCATACTGTCTTAAACTATTTTAAGAAGGGCACCTTATCCATTTGATATCGCTTCATGGATTCGACAACTTCAGTCGTGAAGGCCTCATCTTCCGGGTAATAGGCAATAGGATCAGATATTAATGGATATGGAATATTGAGCACACCCTCAAGAGTTGCATGCAAACAATAAGCTGAATATGTAACATGATATCCACCTTCTTGGACGATCAAGATACGTCCATCGCAATACTTGTCAGCCATTTTGCGAACTTTATGTCCAATCTCCCTATATCCTTCCATTGTCAGGCATTGCCTTCCGTTCGGATCAAACTGAAACAAGGAATTAAGATACATTGAGATGCTACAAAATAGAGAAATGATGTGGAATTTCTTTCTTATAAAGTGCCTCAAATAAATAAACCATTTCTCCCTTGCATATTGAGCTGTTTTTTTCGAATTTTTGAACATCACCACCTAACAACTAACGGTTTAAGCTGTGAGAGCGATAACACTTGATATAAGATCAGAAACGTACAAATTTTACAAATGGCTAACAACGAGATTTGAAAACCAGACTTTTTTCTGCTCTAATACGACATCGTCTAAAAGCTTAAGCTATTAGAGAGGAGATATATTCAGTTGTTGGATGATGTGGTTTAATATGGTATTAGAGCAAGCAAAAGACTCGGGTTCAACTCTCATTGCCACACATTTCTAAAACTTGTTCACGCAGCAAGCCATTGATAAAAATGAATCAAAATACATGAGGTGGCAGGTCGAAGGCTAAATTCAAATAAATTAACGTGTTCTTTCTCTAATATGAGTAACATGTGAGGGTTAATAACCTAAATGATCACTAAACTTTGCAAAAAGTTTTCACAGGGTTACTGAACTTTAAAAATCACCCAAATCATTACTGAACTTTGCAAAAGGTTTACATGGGGTTACTGAACTTTAAAAATCATCCCATTTATCACTACAAAGTTCAGCGATCCTGTGGAATTTTTTTACAAAGTTTAGTGATGAATGGAGTGATTTTTAAAGTTCAGTGACCCCGTGTAAACCTTTTGCAAAGTTCAGTGATGACTTGGGTGATTTTTAAAGTTCAGTGACCATGTGAAATTTTTTTGCAAAGTTCAGTGACTATTTGGGTTATTAACCCCAACATGTGAAGAAATATAAAAATGTCGATGAGAGGTCATATAAGAATCTCAAATAAAATTAATACAGAAAGTGCTGCCTCACCACCACCCAAAAGAATCTCTTCAAGAACATACAATAAGTAATATATCTAATTCTCTAGACAAGAAAAATTGAGGTGGCATAATGTACCAAAAACAAAAGACAAGTGAATCAAGATAAGTTATATTTTCAATTGCAAATAATGCACCATCTTGAATTCTTATTTTTACTTTGGGCTAAATGCACCAACTTACCTACCTGTGTAATATGAATTTGCCTCTTTAAGCCTAATATTCCAAATGCATAGTGAACAAGGCAATATATGGTTCAATTAGCTTCAGAAAGCATTCAACTTACTGCACTGGAGTCTTGACCAACGACCAAAACAATCATGTCGGGTTCGAATTTCTCTACGGATGGAACAACTAACTTGGCCATAGCATACGCATACCCTCTATCTCCAGTTCCATTTGGCAGAGGTATATTCAAATTATATCCAAAGCCACCCCCTTCACCAAGTTCGTCCACACTTCCCGTCTGTGGATGAGAAGGACCCCATGAACCATGATTCATATGAAGGGAGATAGTAAGAACCCTATCAGAGCAATAGAAACCTTCTGCAGTTCCATTCCCGTAATGGACATCAATGTCGATAACTGCAACTTTTTTAAACCTAGAATCGAGCCCGAGCTGTACAGCAAGACCAGCATTATTGAGAAAGCAGTATCCGTCTGCTTGAGTAGGCTGAGCATGATGACCTGGAGGCCTAACCAATGCATAAGCAATTTTTCCGTGCCCATCAAGGATATATTGCATTGCTGATAACGTGGTACCAGCAGCAAGAAGTGCAGCATCCCATGATCCGGGATTTAAGAATGTTCCAGCACAAATGAGCTTTCCCCCATTTTTGTCAGCCTCAACCAGTTCGTTTATGTAATCTGACAAATTTGGAAATGCAAAAATTTTTCAGCCTCAAACTCAGTCTAACTTCAAATATTGTCAAGAATAATTGTCCACGACTAATTTACACCATTGTCAGCACTTAATTTTCATAGTCAATTTTTTTTGCTTTTTACATGTCTATGTAAGTATGAATGTAAAGTGAACAGTGAAACGCTATGGAAGACCCTTGCCTATATCTACATGCAGGGCGGAGGCGGGGGGGGGGGGGGGGGGG